GATAGACCTTTGGAAAAAAAAGAAAGACAGGGGCAGCACCTGAGGCTCAAAGGAGTAGGGCGCTGGCCCCATATGCCAGAGGTGGTGGGTTCAAACCCAGCCCTGGCCAAAAAAAATAAATAAATAAAAGAAGAAAGGCAGGTCAGAAGACCTTTGGCAAAAAAGCAGGCCAGAGACAGAGAAAAAAGAAAGCAGGCTAGAAAGACCTTCGGCAAAAGAAAAGAAAGGCAGGCCAGAAAGACCTTTGGCAAAAAGCAGAGAAAAGAAAGGCAGCTGACAGAAAAAAGCAGGATTCAGATAGAAGATCAGTTAAATGGTCCCCCAGTTAAAACTATCTTAAAATACACAAAAAGGGGGAATATGTAGGACACACCTGAAAAGAAACACCTTGGTAATAAGGGAAAGGGGAAGGGATTGGTCTCTCATTAAAGAACACGAGAACACGTAGCACGTAAGAGCACGAGAGAACAACATCATTGCTTGGTAGTCTCCACACCTGTGGTATAAAGACCCACGGCATCACTTCTATAAAGAGCCATGAGAGAAGCTAGTCGAGTCTCTTACTAGGCCCCTACTAGGCTCCTACTAGGCTCCCACTAAGACTGACTGCTGCACCTTCGAGGCACTCTGGCACTTAGGAGGAGCCATACCCCGAGCGAAATGCACAGCAGTCCACGTCCTGGCAGTTTCATGAGCCAGTGACCTAGCATCCCAGCTCCAATAGTTGGGACTTCAGGACACTTGATTGGTTAAGGTCATTTATTTTATCATGATGCATACATCTTTGAACTTAGAGAATATGTGTGGATTTAAGGAATCTGAATTTCTCTGGAATAACACAGGTGCACTTTTATGAAGCAGTTTAATTAGCCTTATCAGTGTAACTGGGCCACTCTCCCCTTTTCTAAGTGACTCTACATAGGCTCTAATGAGACTTTGTGTTAGATGACTTGCACCCCAGAGGGAATGCATACCCTTATCCTTTTGTCCTGATAGTCCTTAACCCTAAAGTCCTTAACCCTTAAGTCCTAAACCCCTTACAGTTTACTCTTCTGTAAAATGGGGATAATGATAATCTTCCCCACAAATTGTGTAATAACCAAGATGCAAAGTTCTTGGTAGGTAAATGAAGCTGTTATTATTGGAAATGTAGTAGGGTCTCAGTATTCTGTGCATTAATAGGTCTTTATTTTATTTCTGTAATTTATACCTCTTCATATATGTGAATGCCCTTAAATTTCAAGAGCAAACATGACATGACTCTGATGAAATTATTTGGTTCTTTAGTGTGATACATTTCTTTCAAATAGGAATTTAGAGGCTGAGGCAGGTGGCTCACCTGGCTCAGGAGTTCAAGACCAGGTTGAACAAGAGCGAGACCCCATCTCTACTAAAAATAGAAAAATTAGAAAGGTGTTGTGGCAGGCACCTGTAGTCCTGGCTATTTGTGAGGCCGAGGCAAGAGGATTGCTTGAGCTCAAGAGTTTGAGGTTGCTGTGAGCTATGATGCCACAGTACTGTACCCAAGGTGACTGAGTGAGACTCTGTCTCAAACAATAATAATAATAATAATAAAATTCTAATGGCTACCACCTTTCTGTTAACCAACATACAGTGAATCTTTAAAAAAAGACAAAAACAAAAGGACTGCAAATGTCAAAGTCTTCCACATTGGAATGCAGTGGCTCAGTCCGAGCTGTCTGTGACCTCCAATTTCTGGACTCAAGTGATTCTCTTGCCTCACCCTCTCAAGTAGCTGGAACTATAAGTGTGCACCACCAAGCCCAGCTAACTTTTTGATTTTTTGTAAAGATAGATTCTTACTATGTTGCCCAGGCTGGTCTTGAACTCCTGCTGTCAAGCAATCCTTCTGCCTCAGCCTCCTAAAGTTCTGGGATTATAGGCATGAGCCATTGTTCCTGGTCAGTGTTACCTTTTATTTTACACAATGAAAACCAAATACAGGCTTGGTATCTGTAGCTTGGTGGTTAGGGCGCTAGCCATGTACACCAGGGCCAGTGGGTTTGAACCCGGTGTGGGCCTGCTAAACAAACAAACAAACAAACAAACAAACAACAAAAATAGCCAGACATTGTAGCCAGTGTCTGTAGTCCCAGCTACTAGGGAGGCTGAGGCAAGAGAATTGCTTGAGCCCAGGAGTTTGAGGTCGCTGTGAGCTGTGATGCCATGGCACTCTACGGAGGATGACAAACTGGGACTCTGTCTCAAAAACAAACAAACAAATAAAAAAACAAATAGGGTAGGTCAAGTAATAAAACCAAGTATATTAGTTATTATTTTGTGAATTTGTATGCCAATCAACCTCTCTGGGTTTCAGATTCCTTCTCTGAAGACAAGAGTCAGACGAGATATATGGACTATTTTCCAGCTAAGTTTGGTTCGATTAAGCACTACCATACACATAACATTAACTAGATGCTACGCAGTCATCTTTAATATGCTTGAAGACAGTTATTAAGTTGCTCCTCATCCTTTTGTTATCAATTACAGGAAATTGTTGGGAGTCTTTGTTTCCATTTTACATATTCTTAGTCTGTATAATGAGTCTCAAAGCTTCTTGTTCTAAATCTGGGTAGCCTAATGGCTTGAGAACAGGGGTGATGTTTTAGGAAAGGTGGTCCTGCAGTCTTTAAAGTGTCTCCAGGAAGGCTAGATGGAAGGTAAGAGCCAGGAACGCTGAGTCAAATTCTGCAAGTGAATCTTCTCTAGGACTGGGGATGTGACTTTGTCATATACCTGTCAGTTCAGAAATACAAGCGAATCATTTCCAAGAACACATTGCTCCAAAGGGCAGAAAGATGTATCAGTATGGGAGGTTTACAAAGACTGTGTTTGTGAGAAAATTAAAGTGTGGACAAAGAGAGTCTATCAGGAGAGGAAATACTTTTGATCTGTCATTTATCAGTTCAGGAGGAAGGGATAGGAAGCCTGACTCCACTTACAGTTAGGTCATCAAAGATGTTCACTATAGCAATTTAAAATAGCCAAGAAAAAGAAAGATAGCAACACTAGGGGTTTGTTAAACAATTGTTATAGGATTGAATATTATGCATCAATTACAAATGATGTTTATAAAGAATACTTAAATGACATGGAGAAATGTTCTAGATACAGGTACAGTACACATATATTGAAAACCATAAGTAAAACATGATATTAAATATATACAAATCTTATTTGACAAACAGATGCAAGGCAATGTACCAGAATATTAACAGTTTTTACATTAGGGTGGAAAGAGTATAGATAAATCTTGTGTTTTTTTTTTTTTTTTTTTTTTTTTTTTTTTTTTTTGAGACAGAGCCTTAAGCTGTCCCCTGGGTAGAGTGCTATGGCATCACGGCTCACAGCAATCTCCAACTCCTGGGCTTAAGCAAGTCTACTGCCTCAGCCTCCTGAGTAGCTGGGACCACAGGGGCCTGCCACAACACCCGGCTGTTTTTTGTTTTTGGTTGCAGCCATCATCGTTGTTTTGGCGGGCCCGGGCTGGATTCGAACCTGCCACCTTAGGTGTATGTAGCTGGCGCCTTAGCCACTTGAGCCACAGGCGCCGAGCTGATAAATCTTGTTTTAATGCTTACATTTTTCTAAATTTTCTCTCTGTATATCTCACAGTTATAGTCAGAATGAAAAGCAATACAAGTTATGTTTTTTTAAAAAAAACCACATCCACAAAACCCCAGTCTAGGGTTTTAAAGCTTAGATAATCAGGAAAGAAAAGAAAAAAAAAATTACCGGAAAAGTTATGAAACAGTCATTGAGGGTGAGATACTGATATAGGCACCAGAAGGGGAGGGCAAAATGGCCACACTGGGGTTCAGGGAGGTGGCTCTATGTTTGGAGATTCTGCTTTGAAGCCTCCCTTTGTGCCCTATTACTTAAACCTTGAAAGACTGATAGTCAAGGCACCAAAGTGCTTTTGGTGGCCTTATGGTCTTCCTGAGAACATAATTTTTTTTGTCTTTCCCTTTGCCTAGGGAACCTCATCCTGATACCCAAGCTGGCTTGATGCTTATAAGAGAAATGTGTTTTGCAAAGTTCCTAGAAGTGAGTTGGGGTAAGATTGGGGTAAATGAAGCACCGAATAGTCAATGCTCCAGAGGGCCACCTTATGTCCGGCGCAGATATTAAGTTCCTAATGTTTATAACTCCTTTAAACACCTAGGTAGATGTTTCTCAACTTCTCAGTATAATTTTGTTTCTTTCTTTTCTATTCTTTTTTTTTTTTTTTGAGACAGAGTCTCCCTCTGTGTCCTGGGTAGAATGCCATGAGGTCGTAGCTCACAGTAACCTCAAAGTCTTGGACTCAAGTGATCCTCCTGCCTCAGCCTCCCAAGTAGCTGGGATGTACAGGCACTCACCACAATGCCTGGCTAATTTTTCTATGAGATGAGGTCTTGCTCTTGCTCAGGCTGATCTTGAACTCCTGAGCTCAAGCAATCCACCCGCCTCCTCCTCCCAGAGTGTTGGTATTACAGGCCTGAGCTGCATCCGGCCTCACTAGAATTCTTATTGTTGTCTTTTCCACAATCTATCCTCATCCTATGAAAATCTCACCACTGCAAGAGGCTTTTTTCCTTGTTCAGCACACTTTATCTACCCTTAGATCTCCACCAGATTTTGAACACCATCAACAGAGAATAATTCTCATGAGCCCATCATATAGTGATAGACACTACTTTTCAAGGAAAAAAATAAGAAGTCTAAGAGTCAGCCAAGTGCAGGTATGCACCTGTAGCCCCAGCTACTCAGGAGGCTAAGGTGGGAGAATTGGAGATCAGCCTGGGCAACATAGTAAGACCCTGTCTCAAAAAAAAAAAAAAAAGCCTAAAGTCATCAAAACAATGTAATATCCTGTATGAAATGCTGCAGTCACGGTGCCTTGTAGTTTCGTTCCTTCATTCTGTGCCCTTAAGGGAAGTAAGTTGGTGGTGACCGTAGATGACAGAGCCTGTCAGTTTTGGCACAGGTGTCTTCAGTTCACTTCACACTTTGGGTTCCTCAGGAGGGGGGGCTGGAGCCCTCGCCCACCTTTAGGACAATGATGTTCAGGCTGCTCTTGGCTCTCAACATATTCTCCTCCTTTCAAGTAACAGGTAAATAATTTTAATTTCTTTCCTCTTCTAAATTTGTTTCTTGAGGTCTTGTGACCAGCTTGGTTTATTTTAAATTCCAAACAATCTGTGAAGTGTAGACATTTGAGTGTAGTTCTGTTCTCATGTGGCAACTTAAGACTTAGAAACTGATTCTCAGACTATAGAATTTTAACAAAATAAATTTGCACATAATGTTTGAAAAGTAAATGGACACAAAATAAATTAAATAAATTTTATTTATTTATTAGTCAATGGTGTCTCAAGAATTTTAAACATATATATGCTTTTTTTTAAATTTAAGAAAACTGCTATTAGTAAGTTGGTTCTGAAAACTCTGAATTTAGGCTGCCGGGGTTCACATCACTGATCCAATTCTTACTAGATAAGTTTAGGTGTCTGTTTAAACTCTCTAAGCCTATCTTCTTATCTGTAAAATGGGAATGATAATGAGCTTCATCTTGAGGCCATTGTGAGGATAAAATGAAATAATCCGTGTGATATCCTTAGCTTAGCCAGTGCTCGGCTAGCAAAATAAATCCTAGTTATAATTTACTATGTCTACCCAAATTGAATGAGGATCGAAATGAATCCTAGGGTCCCCACAGAAGTGGGTACAATACAAGTATTGATAAATTAGTTTTCTTTTACAATTGGCTGAGTTTTCCTAGATTAAAATTCTTGAAGTTCCTCAATGGTGATGGGGAGGATAATATCTCTAACACTTACAGAGCACTCACTCTGAGAGCACTTACTTCTCCTGAGTAGAAGGTGGGTATTGCAGTTAACCCCATTTAGATGGAGAGACTGAGGGGTAGGCATGGTAAACAATTTGCCTAAAGATATACAGGCGTCAGTTATCAGAGGCAGTCTGACCCCAGAGCTGGTTCTCTTGCCCACTCTGGTATTCTACCTACCATGATATTGTGGTTATAATTTCATAGACCCGGGTAAATCCAGGGTTAAATCATCTTTGGAGAAATTGTGATTCCCAACAGAAAGAACTTATTATTTTGGTGGTCTGGAGTAAGATATTCATTCAGCTTATTCTCTGAGAAGGGTCCCACTTGGCTCAGAAATTGTACTGATAGGGGCTAACAGGCATGTTTAAATAAAGACAGGTATTTTTCTCAAAAGATACACTGAAAAGCCAGTATCTTCAATTTTATTTCTTATTTGTCTGGGAGGTGCAGAGATTGCATTATTTGTTATTGTTCTTAAACATTATGTGCATATACCCCAAAGAGTATAATTTCCTAGCCTGCAGAAAGATAATAGTTGCATATCCATTCATCTATTTCATGGTGTGATGTGCCAGGGAGCCCAAATTGTGTCTATTTATAAAAGGTGTTGATGAAAGACCTGAGCTTGTGCTAACTTATTTCCCAGTATTTGGTACCAAATATTTAGAGCTACCAAATAAATTCTAAAAAAAATCTGTAATTTATTTAAGAAATATCTTTAACATTTATTTTTAAGGGATCTTTAAAATTTATTTTTAGAGAATATAGAGAAGCCCCTCACCCCAACTGAAAACTATTTAAAATTGGTAATTGTACACAAAATACTTTTCTGATGTGCTTTGTGGACACTTACATCTCATTAATTCATTCACTCCCTTTTGGAGGTTTTTTTGGTAAGGGTCCCCTTCCCCTTAACAAATATTTTTAAGATTTTTTCCTTAGAACATTATTATAGGGCGGATAGCTAAAGAAGCAGTCAGAGAGTTCACACATGTGAAGCCTTTGTTTTCTACTTTGAGATCCATTTACTTTTCAAACATCAACCTGCTTTCCTAATAACTTTCAGGATTTGAGGCTGAGTGGCTAATGAAGAAGGAAAGGGATTGGGGTGGAGGGGACACTTTTGAAATGACTCTTTTCAGTGAGAAAACTTAAGAGAAAGAAAATCATTACAACGTATAAAAATGTATGATCCGTACTACTCCAATGGTGCAAAGCTTTCCGTGTGGTCTTTGTTTCTGTCTCTGTAGTTGCCCTGCATTAAGAAATTATCACTAAGGAAATTCCCTGGTCAAAGTGTAAGTGTCCTCCCTGGGACAGCGAGAAACTCCTGTAACAGCTATGTTGAGATGTGTGTGTGTATGTGCACGTATGAAGAACAGTTTCTTTCCCCGTGAATTTAATAATTCTCACTTATTGGTTCACAGCATCACTTAAAATACTTATGCTATTATAGAAAGATCTTATGGCTAGATTGAAGTAATGTAATTAAGAAAGAGTGACAAATCTTTAACTTAGATGAGTCCTTTGCTAAAGTCATGTGTTTTTTATGAGAGTCGAATACTTGTGCAACTGAGATCAGTCACCAGAGAGAACTTCGTTGGATTTTGGAATATGAGCCCAGCTTGGAAGTGTGGGCTCTTTTAAAAAGATTTGGGATTGATGATAGGCATATGCGCGTACTACGTAGCATGGATTACATTTTTTAGACACTATTGGTTATTTTTCAGTAAGCTAACCAGCCAGTATGAAGACACAAATCAGGCCAACACCGCTTACTTTTCCACAAGGGTGTTCCTTTTCATTTCTCCCCAAACATTAGCAAATAAAGTGTCAAAAAGACCAGTTGGGATACAGTTATTCTGCTCACCCTGCTGCATTCTCCATAGCCCTTCCTTTTCTGAGAGAGACACAGAAGGCAGGGCAATAATTGGCATTTAATGAAAAGTCATAAGGAAAGCAAAGTGATTAGAGACTTTATTTGTACTTCAGTGTTCAGCAGATGACTCTGCTGAGGTAGCTGTCTGCAGAATAAAGTAATTCCCTTCTCACAGTTGAGCGATGCTACAGGGCTGTGCTTGGGAAAATAGGACAAAAAGGAAAACTTTGAAAGATCAATAGATTGCTGTATTTACACGACCCCTAGTACACTGTGGCCAGTTTTGCTGACTTACAAAATTGCCTGGGTGTCTTGTCAAGTAAATCTGATGGATATTTCAAAGTACAGACATTACTTAAGAATTTGCTTTACTCTACTACTATACCCAGGTAATACACTAATTTTTTTTAAAGGCATTCATCCTGCAAAGACTTTTACAGCAAGGACTGTTAAATTAATATCAATATATCAATTCCAGGAAGTAGTATGAGTCATTGCCACAGATAGATTAGAAGTAGAAATGAATCTGTGATTGTAACTCCGAAGCTAAACATTCAAACATTTACTGTCGGTGGGAAGCGGATCTCGCTGCCTCTCCTTCTTTAAGACATAACCTTGTTAATGTCTTTCTTCTGTTTTTTCATGAGTGGAGAAATGCCATATGATTACCACTTGGCTTTTATCTCGTGTGGATATCTTCCTCCAAGTATTTCCTGCATGTAGTGTGCTGACATTTACAAAATGAATTTTAATTTTATGCCGTCAACAATCCCAGAAGAAAATTCCGTTTGTGGTTTATCATCTCTAAAACACTCGCTCTTCATTAACTAGTATAGGCGCTGAGGAGGATATGCAATTCATTTCGACTTTCTTGTCCAAAAGTCAGAGGACAGACACTCCTTCAAAGCATAATTATTTCACTGCAGGTCATTGTAAGGGACAAAGACGTTTGTCTCTTTTTCATCTCGATTAAGTTTTTGTTTGCCATTTTCTTCAAGGAATTTATTATTTATGACATTTCATAGAGGCTAAAACTTTTCTTCCCAGTAGATAGATGAGCAGAACATTAGGAAAACTGATATTTAAGTGGTTTTGTGATTGACTGAAGCGGTCTCTGGTTTTCTAAGCTGTGTTAAAGTATCTTTGTCTATTTTTTTAGGATGATTTCTTTGAACACCCCCACCCCATCCTGCCTTTTGGCCACGATAGGGTATTAGCACTAAAACAAAACAAAACAAAATAGAAACAAACAAAAAAGCCCCCCCCCAATAAAATTCAACTAGAGCTTTCTGTCTGAGAATCATTGCACGAGAATTGGCTCCTGAAGCCAGAGGGACGGTAACCCAGGCTCTGCAGAGAAGTGGTTGCACAGTGGGTGTAAGGTTTTGGTTGTTACTCATTTTGATGACTCCAAACAAGAGAAGGGAGGTGCACCAGATGGGACCCAGCGCTCCCCAGTCAGAGTGTAGAGGTTTGCCCCTGAAGTCCCACCTACTCAGGAAGCCAAGGAGGGAGGATTGTGTGAGCCCAGGAGTTGGAGGCTGCAGTGAGCTATGATTGTGCCACTGCACTATAGCCTAAATGACAGAGTAAGACTCCCTTCTCTTAAAAGAAAAAAAAAAGAACATTAGATAGAAAAAAAGAGCTGCCCAGCCACTTGGTAGAGTGGAAAAAGAGAGTCTAGAGTTCTTTAGCCTTAGTATTTCAATGCTAATTTCATAAGCATATTTTTTAGTCTGGTGTCACCATGCAAGTTACATGTGTTTTTGGTTTTCATTGCTGCAAGAGAATTTGCAAGGTGGCGGAGAATTTCTTACGTAACTTTGGGCTACTCCTTTATCTCTGCATCACCATTACCGTCATCTTTTTCTTTGTAATCGTGTTCATTATCTTAAGAATTCTGGTTGACAAGGTAACCAGGTTAATAGTTCCTAATGGTGTCATTCAGAATTACTCACTGGTAATTCACTTTGGCCTCTGATCTAATCAAGAGCCCTTTTCTGCAGACCCAAATCACCTAGTTGGCTCACAGTGTACCATGTAATGTACTGATTATAGTGTAACTCCTATTCACCCCTCACTAATTCATACAGAAATCCGAATTATTGGCATGTCTGCACGTTTTAGTAACAATGTGGATCCTAGATTCCCTTTTTGAGAACATAGGTGGGTGTTGAACATTTTTTTTTTTTAAACTTTCTGAGAAGGTAGAAGATTGTGCTTCTCATTGTTCAGGGATACTTGACATGTAGTAAAGTCTCAGAATATCATCGGAGATGTATTTTTAGCTTTTGTGTTACTTGATGACTTTCTTTGATATTGACCACTATCAGTTATAAGGGTACATAATTTAAGATGAAAGGGGTTCCATTTTGATCCAT